TAATAAATAAATTATTATTATATATATATATATATATATATATATATATATAAAAAGACTATTATATAGTATATAACTATTATATAGTATATAAATAATGAAAATATTTTTTACATATTTTTGATTGACTTTTGCAATAAGATTATTAAACAGATTTTGTTACTATTTATAATTAATATGTACACAATTATATGCCAGCTGTTTAAATATACGACCGCATTAGCTATTAATTTTTCGAAAACTTAACAATATTATATTATATTTTATTTTTTTAATATTTATATATGAATATGAATTTAGCACGCTATTGATTTATTTTATTTATTTATTAAAAAAATTTATTCTTCAAAATAGCTTTGTTTATTTTTTTGTATTAAATTCTGAAAGAAATTGGCGATAACTCCAGAGCACTCTATATATGTAACTTGTTCTTGTGTAACACAATTGTATGCACAATTACTGAATATTTTGTATAAGTTCACGTAGTTGAAATTGAGATATATTGAAGGCAATTATTATTCAAAGAATTTAATAGAGAAACAACGAAATATAAATGCATTTTGTATATAAAATGTAATATTGAATATTATTTAGTGTTATAGTCTTTTTCTATTAAAAAAAAAAGACACCATAGTTATTGACTTTATATTCATGAAATTGTTATCTATTTGCTTCTAATATATTTCCACTTAATTTTTTACATATATCTTTTATATTATTAATTTTTTTTTATTATTCAGGTCATATTCAGTCAAAGTTCAGACTTGATGGAAAGACAATCATCTATGGCTTCTTCTACTGAAGAGGTATCTGGTGCAAATAATGATTTAAGTGGAGGATCTAGACGGGATGACGAACAATTTGGTGTATTTAAAGACTTCGATTTCCTTGAATATGAAAGCGAAAGTGTTGAGGTAAGACCCACGACGTTTTGGTACGTGGTCTTCTAAAGGGAGGATATTAATTAAAATCTTATTTTCCAGGGCGAGAGTACGGATAATTTCAATTGGGGAGTTCGACGTCGTCCTCTTAGTGAGGGTGAGGAACGAGAACCCAGTTTGCGACAGTTTGAGGAAAGTTTAAGTGAGAAGACACCATCATCCAGCAAACACACAACTCGGGTAAATATAAAAAAAATTTTAAGTTTTAAATTTTTAGTTTTATCATATATAATTCTATCATTCCATTTATTTTTTTTTCCTTTTTAATTATTTTTATTAATTTGGGATATGTGTAGCGCGGAGTTGCTGAAGAATCATCAGACGACGAGGCCGGATCAGAATCACCTTTGGATGAAGTGCCAGGAGGATCCGGAACAGGCCAAGAGACAAATAGTATCCCAGGAATGTTCCCACCATCCTCTCTCTCGTTGATACCTAGTCGCACGCGTCACGACTCATCCACAAGGTCTGACACATCGTAAGTTTCTGTATAAAGATTTTTAGAAACATGTACTAATCATTTTCACTTGAATTCTTTGTCTATAGTGGCTCGAGTGCGGGAGATCTCGGAGATGTGACACCTTGCAACGCGTCACCCAATCTGTCCGCATTGATGCCCTTCCGGCAAGTTGTACGAGATGATGCCGAAGAGATCTGGAGACAACAAATTCAAAGTCTCATTACCCAAGCTCCATATAATACTCTGAGCTTCTTCCAATTGTTGAGCAAGATTTTAAGGGTACAAAAATTTAATTTATTTTATAAGAAATATTACTAAGTTTTATAAAAGATTAGTTAAATATTATTTTTTTTCAAAAGAAATTATTATTAGTTGTTATTTTTTGTAGGATGTGAGCAGTAAATCTGTCGGTCTTACACGCGAGGCGAGTGCTTTGCTTTGTAATGGCAGCCCAGCTTCAGCTCATCTAGGTTGCCATTTATCTAGTCATGCCGAGCTGCTTAGTTCAAAAGCTGAACCGCCTCTGGTGTGGTTCTCAGTGGCAATATTCATGAATCAGCGATTAAACGAGGCATTACGCTTTGGTATGCTGGAGGTACAAGAACATCTGGAGACATTTTTGGATAGAAAGGATCATGCTACGGAAGTAAGTTTTATTAAGCGAACGATTGCTTAAGACAGATAAAGTCATGATCTCTTTTTTAGTGCTTGGAGGCAGCTAAAGCAACGGCTAAGCTTCAAGCATTAGGCGGTAGTCATACCACGGAGGCAGGTGTCGAAGAAATGCTGTTGGATCTGGGCAGAGCACTTTACAAGCTGCATTTTCAGTTGCTTTTGTTGATCGAAGCGTCGAACAAAATGTTAGGAGCGTTAATGAATGCTGCTAGAAATGTACAGATTCCTTTGCAAGATCTATCTATTGAAATCGCTAATATGAAGATAGCATTAAGTAGAGCGCTCGAAGAGAGTACCGAGAGCGAACGAGGGACACCCACTCCTACACCCAGTCCTAGTCCTCTGCCTGGTTCAGGAGCCGTAGAAGAAGTTGCCAGAGTTGCCGAACTTTTGAGAAATGCGCGATGGTGTCCAGCGCTTGAAGCTGTAAGACTGCATAGGGCGCAATGGCCCGGAGATCCTTTTCACGATGATGATGATGTGACGACTGCCGTTAATATGTATTGCAAATACATAGGTCAAGATAGATCTGGTAAGTTTGACATTTGCATTAAATATTTAAAGTTATATATATTATGTATATATATATTAAATATTTATAGTTATGTATATATGTGTTTATATTACGGCATGTTTTTTATTTAAAGAAGGAAGACAAAAATAAGAGAAATATTATAGAAGAATAAGAAAAATATATATTTTGAAA